CCATCTTCACTGAGGCACCAGGCCTTGCAATAGTCCCAAATGCCTGCTGTGTCCCACATCAATATAGACTGCATAAACACTGGACTTTATAAAAAACAGTACAACATCCAAGGTTCATTCACCTGCAACTCCACCAACCTCACATGTACCATCACTTGCTTACAATACCCATCTGCTATCTATATCAGTGATCTCCAGATTTAAGAATGAATGGACACCAATCTGACATCAGCTGTAAAAAAACACAAAAGCCTGTGACAGAACACTTCAACTTCCCTGGCCCCCCTCCCTGCCCAGCCTGGCCAAGCTTCCTCCTGGTCCCTGGAGTTCCCTACCACAGCACACAGGGAGGCAGGAGTCATTGCAAAACTTCATTGTGCACCTCAGCTAGGCAGCCATGGGCCTCTCACACATGGAGAAACGTGTTGATGCTGGCAGCAATGTTGTCCTTGGCTGTGGTGAGAGGGCAGGGGTATGTAGGCATAGGTACCCCTCCAGCTGGCTGGTGTAGGGCCACATGAGCCAGAGGAGGAGTATGGAGGCAGGGTCCCCAGTGAAGAGACACAGGACCATCACCTCGCCCAGCTGGAGGTTCAGCACACCTGATGCAAAGTCCCTGCTTTCCAGCAGGGCTGGCAGGGAAGATGCAGGCATCATGGGTGCTGTCAGCCCAGCCAGCACTCACATTCGTGAAGGCTCTCCGGTGGTGGACGACAGCCTGCAGCATGATGGAATAAAAGCCCCCACCAGCTGTAGTAGGGATGGGTTGCCACAAGGCGGACAGGTAATGGGGATGTGGGTCCCATCCAAGGCCCCAGTGCACTGAAAGAAGCCCAGGGTGTGGAACTCTGCCACCACTTCCAGGGGGTTGTGCAGTCAGAGGACGCCACATCCTGGAGGGCACCACACACCTCCAAGATGACTTCCCTGGTAGTCGCCTTGCTCACACCAAAGAGGTGGTCAGTGTAGCACAGGCTGGTGGGTGTGCCCAGCTTGAGTATGGTGATGGCCAGCCAGGTCTCTGCGGAGAGGGGTGGCCTCATGGAAGCAGCCTGCTGCTCCAGATGCAGGTGGAGCTGATTGAGGAGTACATCCCAGGTGTGCTGAATGATATGCAGCCACCAATCCTGGCTGGCTGAGCAGGCCCACAGATGATGGGGCTGGAGCACCAAGAATTCGTGAACAGCACCAGTAGCAGCATCCTCATGCACGTTGTCAGCATCCCTGCTGGTGTCTGGGTGGTATCAGAGCTGGGGCAGTGGCCTCGGACACAGTGATAGATGCATGTTGGAGCACGCAAGGCCAAGACTAACCTGAGCCAGGTGGTGGTTACCACAGCAGTGAAGTGTGGTGAGCAGGGTGGCAAGCAGGAGCCCGGGGTGTGGGATGTCACACCTGGCACCTGGGGGTGGAGCAGCCACCACACAGTGGGCACAGGCTCTGGTAACACTCACCGAGGGCTGTGCCAACACGCTGCAGACTGCTCTGGGCCAGAAACGCAGGTAACCAGGGAGTGCCCTACGGGGCTGGCTTTTAAAGAGGGTCCCTGCCCCCAGGCAGCTGTGGCTGGAGCCTCCAGCTCCCTCTGGCTGCTGCAGGGGGGCAGCGCAGGGCTGGAGAATACTTGTGAGGAGCAAATCTGCTCCCAAATGGCTGCACGTGAAGATGCCGGCCCAGAGCAGGTTTATTGCACAGTAAGTTACTGCACAGCAAACTCATATAGCATTAATTGCACATGTACATGTACCCACTGTGCAGAAACTTAAGCAGCTATTTAAGCTTTTTTAGGATCAGGACTTTAATTTTGCAAGATTCTCACATTTTCCCATGCAAAAATTCAAAATTTACTTCAGTATATGCCTATTTAAGCTGTACTTACTTCTCTTTTAAGTTCATTTATGCACTGGCATGTTTTTAAAATAGCTACTTCTAAGTCCTCTGTAATGTCCTTCATTCTCTGGTTCTGCTATAAGCAAAAGAGAATCAAAATTAAAAAACAAAAAATCCCAACCCTTCCCCCTCAAAAACGCAAAACCAAACCCCCTCCCAAACCAAACATTATTATCCAAGGATTTTAATGAATTGTTTTCATTGCAATATCTTCACTGACAAAAGAAACAAGCATTGTTATGCATCTTATCTTAAGAATTCATTACTACTAGAAAACTTATTTGTCACAATCAAAAACCTAAAAAATGTTGCTGGAGTACAGACCAAAATCAAGAACTCCTTCAGGGAGTGCCCTAGTCATTAGGTTACACAGGTAGCCTCCATCTAGCTTGTTTTCCTTCTGGCATCACGATTATGCTCTCGTCTGCCCAGTGGCCCAGCTACTACAGAAGGGGTAGGTGAGTGCCTTCTCCTAGTCTTCCTTAACTTGGTGGTAAGGGCATTCAGCAGGTAATTGCATTATCAAGGTTCAACTTTCTTCAGGGTGAAGGGAGCCAGAACCAAGCCTCTCACCACCTGGGCAAGTACCCTCTCCATTAGGTTATTGTTCAAAGCCATCAGCAGGGGGAAGATTCTGAACTGACTACCTTCAGAAACCCAACATGTACCTATCCTTAAAGCAGCATTGCTAAAAAGAAATGCCTGTTGGATAGCTTGAGGCACCTAAGATCTTGAAAATGATGGAAGCTCAGACACCAGTGCTTTAGCAGTTCCCTCTAGCTATCTATTTACAAGGTAAAATAAAGAAAGAAAAAAACCCAAATACCACATTAACGAAGAAAAAACCCCCTCCTGTTCTGGCCCTGAAGCATGTGATTGCCAGGCATCTCTCACACCAAGAAAGCTACCTCTCAACCCTGACCTGGGGTCTGCAGACACCCAAATTCACACCTTGCACGTGGTGATTGTTGAATCAAGATTCCCCCATCTTAACCATGCTATCCTCTTCACAGACTCTGGAGTTTTGAAAACATCTATTGAATCTACTACTTAAATTCACCAATTCTCCAGTCAGAATAATCTACACCAGAGGTGTCAAACTCAAACTCAGATGAGCAGTGTGGAGCTGGTCTGCAGACCACAGTGGACCCTCAGCCTGGCCATGCATTTTGGTTTTGCTCCAGCCACCATGGGGCTGTGCCACACTGCCCCAGAGCCCCTGCTGTGTGCAGCACAACCCCAGAGCTGCATGTGGTTGCTCCAGGGCTGTGCTGCACACGGCCGTTGCTCTACCACTCTGCAGGCACTGCACAGGGCCATCCAGCACACCCCAAGACTTGTGAGACTCGTGGGCAGCAGCAGGGGCAGGATGATACGGCTCTACAGGCCATACCGTTGACACCCCTGACCTACACCTTTAAAATATATTAGCAACTTGAATTATTCAGAATCTGTATAATCTGATCTCCTTCAAGGTAATAATCACCTTTCTGGAACAGTCCTGCAAAACAGTCTTTCATACAGGAAATTTAGTAAGTGCTTTCTGTAGCAAAAGTGCCACAATTTTGACAATGTTCTCACACTTTGTTAATAGACTATCACCTTCTTTTTGTTTTATTGCAGTTGTGTTTATATATTATTTTTTTTCCCCTAAGGATTGTAAACAAGCACAATCTTCTCGTCATTCTTTGCTAATACTTTATTTTATTTTCTACACCAAACTATTTAATAGCTAGTGATCTTGTCTGACCATAAAATGTCATCTCTTCCAGTGGCAACACTGAATTAATTTACACAAGGCAATTATCTTCCTTGATTCTTTATAATTTATATGCTTATGAAAATCAACTACTGAACTAAGAACAAGATTCAAGAACAACTAAAACCTCCTTGGGTGATCGGACACTGCAGCTGGGAGTTAACTGAAAGGTGTAAAGTAAAGGCCTGTTTCACTTAGAAATATTTTTTAGGAGTAAAATCTTAAGAGGATAGAGTGTATTCAGAGAGACAACTCATGTTTGAGGCTGGCCGCTCTTGTCCAAAACCTGTGGAGTCACACAAAGTGAAGAAACAAAAGCCAGCAATTCAGGCTGCACGTAATCATACTCCCCACAGAAAGACTGGAAAGACCAGAAACTGCAAAAGAGCAATGGGGACGACATTGCATTAAAAACTGTCAGCCTCTCTAGTTAGAGCAGCACCCTTGAATGCACTGGTTCAAGGGGCTGAATGTTACCAGCACAGAATGTAAAACTGTCAAATTCAGCACCACTAGAGGAGGCTAGGAGTGCCAGTTTAATACTTTTGGAAGTACATGGAGCCATTTTGTACTTGGACAATTCCCCCAAGTTAATTTCTGTGCTGGATATTGCTCTGTTTGCTGTGGGGACTTGACTGGTCACTCATCTCCAACAGCTGATAGCAATATGCAACCACTTTAAAGAACCTGGCGTGTCTGTACTCAGGCTGCGGTGTTCCAACCCCACAGCGCACAGTTAGTATACAGACTGCTAGAGGAGACAGAAAAGGAAGAAAGAGAAAGAGTATAATAGTAAGGAGAGAGGACTGTCATGAAAAACCCAATTCACAGATTAAATCTTCAAGCTGAAAAGAAAGCCACTGTGAAAAGTGGTTCCTCATGGCAAAGCAGCAGCATATTTGGGCTGTGCTGCAGTCTCCAGATTATTAGAAAAGGCCGGAACAAACCAATACATTTATGCTAGCAGTTACATTTGTCACAGTTATGGCAAGGGTTATTCTGCTGGCTAGTCCCACATTCAAGGGTTCTCCATGTATGAGAAAAGATATACTATGTCCAAGATGCACAGCAGGATCTGAAAATCAAGGAGTGCCTATGCAGTTTCCAGAGCAAGCCAGAGACTACCTCTTACAAAAAAGGACCCAGCTGCACCCACTTAACATGCCCAAGAGAGACCCTGGTTGAGAATCACTGACTTAGAACATGGGATTTGGTTTCCTGCTGTTATTCTCTTCACATATCCTTTTCCTTCCCTACCTTTTTTCTTCTTCCCTGTCTCTCAAATAACTTTCAGGACAATTTCTTTTGCAATTCTGCTATAAGCCTATGACCCAAATGGCAGGCAGAAAGTAATGCCTGGAGCAGCCTGATGCCAGTACAAGCTTGCCATCTCTCAGAGTTGCTAAGGCTGTGTTAATAACAACAGTTATTACCATCCTAATACCATCTACAAGGTTGTGGTTTTCCTCTGTAAATGCTTTATACAGCTAAACGGGAAGACAATAAAGGATGCTGTTACAATGAAAGACTTAATATATCAAAATTTCCAGTCTTATTTCAATATTATTCCTTCAGTTCTTATCTTTAATAAAAGGCTAAAATAATTTAAACACTGGTTATTGCCATGGGACCAAGCAGGTTGAATTACCTGTACTTGAAACCCACTTGTGCAATGACAAGGTCATGTTGACATCTGATTCTCTGCACCCATTTATTCCATCTAAATTAATACACAACTATCAGTGATCAGCATTCAGAACATTATGAAGCAGGGATAAAAGTGGGAGGAAAATTTATGAAAAACAAGCACATCAAGAGCATAACAAGAATCAGGGGGAAGGGAGGAAGCTAGAGAAGAGGACCACTACTGAGCTGTTCTTTTGATATAACATGTACATTTCTAATGTTAAAAACCTTCACCCTCTCAAAAAATTCTAGGTAAAAATATGCCTTGTTTTCCAAAGTATAGATGAAAAGATTTACTTTGCTAAAAAACTCTTACAGCTTGCATCCACACTGAAACCAGATGCTCTAGTTCCATTTTAGATTGCTTGGACAGCTCCAAAATGCGTTCTCTGTGCTCATGGCTGGTATAGGCAGAATCAGTAAAATCCTCTGTGTGTTCCAGGATGAGTTCCAACATTGTTGAAAGATTCTCCTTAGAGGGAAAATAAAGGTTCTCCCGTAGACCTTCCACCTTATTCTGAAAAGAAAAAAAATGTCAGTTTCCTATTAATCATTCACATAAACACAGAAAGGAGATGCATCACTTTGCACCTGCTTTCACTTTTCAGCATTTTTAAAGTACTGTTAGTATTTTCTGCTAACGAGAAGTTATTTAACTTATTCTCCATTTTGCTACTTTAGCCAATGCCACCAGCAACATAGTCCGTCTTTGACCACTGAGACAAAACACCCAAATTAAGTACCGTATTTACTCAACTGCAAGATGAGGACTTTCACATTTAACACAGGGGGAAAAAAGCCCCTCAGAATCAAGGTG